TCTCCTGACCAGTCACGTAGCACCGCTCCGCCTCTTGCAGATTTCCCCTTCTCATTGCAAGATTACCAAGTTCGAAATAGACACTAATTGATTATCGTGCTCAATTAGCATGGACATACCTAGGTATGCATGTGTCAAGGGTAGAAACACCCCGATGCACGGGGTCTGTTTCTAAATCTTTTGACTTACTGTTGCATATACTGGCCATTTTCGCCATGTTCTCTGCGAACAATCTCTCGCGCGTTATTGAATCTCACTTCGGCGTCTTCGAGGTCTCCCATTCGGCACAGTAGGCGGCCAATACCAAGGTGTACGAAAGCGAGAGCAATGTTCTCGGGATGATTAAATTTCTTACGAGTCTCTTCTACCTGGAGGAGAAGCTCGAGGGCTTTCTCGTCGTCTCTGTTTGAGGCCAGTACATTCGCCTGGTTGGAGAGAATACCGACATATTCCTCAGAAGTCTCCTCCCTGTGAGGCTTCAGAGCAGTCAAAACCACATTAGAATGAGTAAAGGCACTCTTCAAGTCGTTTTGAAACCAGGTCATAACGAGAAGTGAGTTATGAAGGTGCGCATAAAGATATGTGGTCGGGTCGACGGCCTTTAAAACAATTTCGCTAATGCGCTGGACCTCGGAATGTTGCCCGGTTTCGACTAAATACCTAGAAAAGGCTAAACTCTTTTTGCCAAACCCATATTGTTTTAGATGGGCTACTTACCAGATGCAGTTGGAGAGTAGTTCCGAAAACTTCTGAGAGGGATGCAGCTTTCTATTTGACAACAGAGAATCTGCATACATGTTGGCGAGCCAGACTCCATGCTGGATGAACATGTGGCACTTGTCCCAATAGAGGTGGAGTGGCCGGCCCTCGACTTGTTTTGGGAAAGCATGGTGGACTAAAGTCACCGTGAGGTCAAAGAACTTCTGGGCTAACTCGTCAGTCAGACTGTTGAGGAATGCACTTTGGACTAGGCGGTGTATCGCAACGTCTGCGAAACCGGGATTCGAGTTGATCAACCCTTGACTCCTTAGAGAGCCCATTGCCACCTCGTATCTAGTAAGAATATACGTGGTTAGGCCCGAAAATCATCAAAGGACGCCTGGAAGTAACTCAACTTTTCTGAGTCTTCGCAGAAGTTAGGAGCACCATGAGGACTATCGCAGTCTTCACTCATGAATAATCTCCGAGGAATTGAATCCGGAGAACAGAATGACAAGATCCCAAGCAAGCTGAAACTATAAACTTGCCCTCTTTTCTCTTCCTTCTCTAAGACTTTGAAGGGTTCACTCCATATCGTCTCCATCGTTAAATCGTAATCAGCTAGCTCGCCTTGGGCCGACCCTAGTTCACCTTTACGGTAGCGTTTGAGGAAAGTTTGGATAGACTGGCCCTGAGAAGCGATTCGTGTAGCTATTGTGCATATACCGATCGCTAAGCCATCCACCTTTCTAAGTAACATCTCGGCTGCTTTCAGTTCTTCTGGGATTCCTTGGATGTGGTAGTAGTCCGGACCCAAGGATTTCGAAAAAAGCTTCTTCGAATCAGCAAGAGTGAACTTTTCGAGATCCAAGGTTTCTCCTCTTGCTCTGAAAAATGCTCGTTCTTTGGGGTACCTGGTCGTTATCAGCATCGACGCCGATTTTGAGTTCCACGTTAAATCTTTGAGATGTTGCGCAACAGACGCCTGCGTCTCAACGTTGTCCCATATGATGAGCCAACTGCCACCTTTTTACGGAGTCAGCAGCAGCCTGAGCCCAAAGAAGTGAATAATCCTCAAAATAACAACTAACTATTATGTTTCAGAAAGTCCAGGACAAGCTGCCGATTGTCTTCCGAAATACTACTCGCTCCTGGAAGTCGAAGCTCAATAGCAATCTCAGTGAAACTCTGACCGAGTGAGAGAGCTGTCTGTGCTTTTATCCAGAGTATAACATCAAATTGGCGGCCGTACTTCTTCGCATAGGCAATGGCTAGTTTGGACTTTCCCACGCCTGCAAGGCCGCAAATGGTGAACAATTTGTTACTCTTGTCTACTTGCGGACCCAGTGCCGAGTTTATTTTATCAAGTTCGACCTGCCTGCCATAGAAATCATCGTCGCTATAGTATGGTGCTCCCCCACAAGGCAATGATAGGTCTTTGGGTAGTAATGACCTTAACGGCACGGCATTTGGGACCACTGAGCCTTTTTGTTCGCTGGATTGCGGAATAATAGCACACACTTTCAGGTGGTCGAAAGTCTCGTTTACTTTCTTGATCTCTCGTTCATAGTCGTAGGGCATGCCCTGCGCGTCCTTCCCTGTGGCACTCGTTAATCGTCGGGCCTCATAATTGACAGAGGACATACCATGAGGATACTTGCGCATGAAGCTGACCGTGTCTGCCCAAAATAGAATCAGAGCAATAAAGGCATCATTCAAAATCAGCTTCAACTCTTCGTCAAACCGGGTATTCTGATGAGCTCGCTTGCATTCTTCTAAAGACCTGGTGACTTTCTCTAGCATCTCGATAACGTCATCTTTCAATTTGTTGTCGTTCATCTCAGTCATCTGTCTCAGATGCCGATTAGTATAACCCCGATCGTTTGTCGGGAACTTGTCAGCTCACATCTAAGCTCACATCGACGAGCAGGTAGACTAGACCCCAGAAGATGGAAGATTTCAAGGTTCTAGGGGACATCGTAACCACGAAAAAGGTGAGAAAGGACTTCATTGTCCGAATGGGACGCCGAATGCGAAGGAGATTACGGCTGTCAACGGGTCCTCCTCTGATATCATTCAAAAGAAGCTCTGGCGTAGAGAAGCTTTGCAGCTTGTTAAAGTCGTGCTCACTTAGGGTGTGTTGGCATTGGTCGATAGCAATAGTCCAGCTAGCGACAATATCGTCGGCGTCGTCATCCCTGATTCAATTTGGTATCTTTAGAATGGAATTTTCCAGTTGCTATGTGATGAGGAGCGGGAGAACATACTGGCTCTCGTCGATCGAACCTTCTGGCGTATAATCCAGCGTTCCTGTAGTAATGCTGTCAGAGATGCTTAAAGTCTCCATGCTGATATCCATTCCACAGATAACAGTCGAGATGATCAAAGGCTGTGTGAACTAAAGTACAAGCGAGAAAGAAATATATCCGTATGTTGGACGGCGGCAGGTGAAGAGAAAAGGGAGGCCAACTGATGACCCGACAAACTTTCAGCACTTTCGAGTTCAGATGGCCCTCACAAGTAGAACTAGTCCCACCCCGGGTGCGGCAACTCGTAGCTACATACACGCCTTCAGGACTTCGACGAGCAAGGTCACGGTACGAAGGAACGGACCGCAGTAGAGTGGGGCCGCCGTGGTGCGACCCAACCCAGCCACTGGCTTTGGATGGACAAGGCTGTGGACATAATTATTGCTCAAGTTACTCAACTGTTTGCCTGCACATCGTAACCCCAGAAGCGGGGTACCCAACCTAACCCCCTCTCTGTATGGCTGTTGCGGTCTCAAAGAGTGGTATGCTGTTCAACCTAGGTGTCCTGATACGGGCATGATTCGCTTCGTCTCACTAAGTAGCCTGATGCCCAAAATATCAAGCATGACTCTAACCTTATTCGCTTAGGAAAATAAAGCCAGGCTGTCCTGTCTGGTCCAAGGTAAGTAATCTACAGTCTTCCAGTTAAGCTAGTTATACATCCGACAAGCATCGACGACTCAAGCCGACGAGGCTTGTGGTTCCTGATACGACCCGAGCCTGACGTGTTCCTACAACGTTACGCACCTCAGCGGATCAAGTACGATGAAAATGTAGCATCATGTTGATAAATTGGCCAGGAGATGTGTAGGGACAACATCATGATAAGATCAACTTATTACACTTGAGAATTTGATATATTCAGCTATGCAAATATGAGAGACTGAGGGCAGATTTTGTGTAGATCAGGCACTGCTAATGGGCTTCTGAAATATGTGCCCCGGTGAATGGGATATCAAGTGAGGCAAAGGCTACCGTTGCCTAGACTTACGTGTGTCTTCGCAGTCTGAAGGCCACCTCAGCCCACTCATTTCCTGCTTCATACCCTGAATATCCCGAACCTCGTCCTAGGTGGTCGGGTATTCTTGCAGAAGCGCTAGGATATGGCCCGACCAAGGAAAAGGTCGCGACGAGAGTGCCGACAACTGTAGAGTTGCAATTATTAGAAGCCACTGAGCTCTCCAAGCCATAATCGTATACAGAATTAGACGTTGTTGGTCAAGCTTGTCCGACCAATTGCTGTCGGCACTTCTGACCGAGAAAATGCTTTGTGTCACCCTTCCACATGTTCTGTTTTGTCGGAGCTGCATCACCTATGGACCATTCAGGCTTCAAGACCTTAATACACTTGTTAGTATTGTCACATTATCTAATCATAAGCTGTTATTGCAAGAGGTCGGGCCAATCTGTCGATGTCACAGACTCACTGGCGTCTGACGTAGTGGCATTGGCTTGGACTAAGGCGTATTTGACTTATCGTTTATTCAGTAGGTGCCTATCTTCTTGGGGGTGGATAATAATAATACAAAAAATGGAAAGAAGAAAAGATGAACTCCCCGTTTGGACTCTTTGAAAGTAGACTAAAGTCGAAGAAGCTGTTCGATCTGTTGAGACGTGGGAAGCTTCGGATCCATGTGTGAATCATGATGATTGTGCCTCTCTTGTATGCTTTGTATCTATTTAGGTCAGAGGTCCCTAATTCCAAGAGCGCTTACTCCTTTGGGCTGATGTGGTGGTCCGTGCGTGTGCACCCATCAAACCCCTCCAAATCCCGCTAAAAATAATCCATGACCTGGTCTCACTCGTCGCGACAACCCCCAGCAATCTGACTGATAGCATCATCAATCGGCTTCTTTGCGACAAGACAAGACAGTGAAGCGCAGCCTCCTCTCAATATCGTTGTCTGTTGCAAATAAACGAGAGTGTCTGAGCTTCTGAACTGTAGCCTATTAGTTCACTTGTTCTAGCCTTGTTCTCCTCGATAATGCAGTCATGGAGGACAGCCCTGGAAGACCTGGTCCTGAGTCAGAAAACCTGACCCAGAAGCTTGTCGTGAGTGAAGACTGGGACCCAATCATTGGAACGGTTAGATGATTGTTAACAATACCGACAACAGGATGAGTTCCACTCTATCTTGGATGAGGCTGTCATTTTGGCCATTGTTGGAGACTATGACCTTGCCCACGACTTCGATGGTGCCCGGGAAGTTCTCGTGTCGCTGTCCAAGGACGTGCCCGTGGAAGAGCAGTCAGGCTTCAACCACAGTGGCATAGCTTATGATGCTCTAGCATCAGATCTTGTCGAGCAACCACAAGCAGCAGACTCAGCCACAGAGACCACCGAGAGCTCGCGTCGCCATGCGGACGACTCGTCCAGGACCGATTTCAGCGAGCCCCTTTCTGATCAATTTGAGAGGCTCGACCTTTCTCGTGACATTGACGTGTCCAAGTTGGACCATGACGAGAAGGTTGCCGAACTGATGGTCATGTTTCCGATCCTCAAAGCTGTGGACATCAGCTATGCACTCAAGAAAGCCGAAGATGATTTCGACAAGGCATTCGAGGAGCTCCTCAACACCCAGTACCTTGAAGAAAACGGTCTCCGCCCGAGAGGCATCGATGGCGCATTCCGCCCAGACGATGCGATCGTATACAGGAAAGCGCGAAATGCCTCGGAACTCAAGACCAAGGCTGGCAAGACCAAGCTGGACGTTGGATACCGGCTCAAACCCTCAGAAATCCTCATCACAGACATTTCCACTTCAACTTCCACAACCGCTTCATCAACTGCCACGTCTCCGGCACTAAAGGGATTAGATTCATCTTCCAATAGAAAGACATATAGAGACTTGAAGCGCGTCTCTTCCGCCGCAAGGGAAACCAGCAACCAGTCATTCGTTGCCGCGCAGAGAGCTTACCGTCGAGGCAAGTCAGACGCCTTGTACCGACCAGTAGCTGCTGTATATGCCGAGCGCGGCCGAGAGCAGGCAGCCAGAGCACGCGCAGCAGAGAGCGACACGTACGATGCCCTAGTCGACGAGCAGAGCTCAAACGCGCATATTGATCTTCACGGCGTCCCTGTGGCCGATGGCGTCCGCATCGCTCTCGAGCGAACTCAGCTGTGGTGGGGCAGCCTTGGTGAAGACAGGGCAAAGCGTGCTCGCGAGGGCTTCACAGTAATCACCGGGCTCGGCACTCACAGTGCTACCGGAGTTTCTCGGCTACGTCAGGAAGTTGGCGCTGCCTTGAAGAGAGAAGGCTGGAGAGTTCGAACTGAGACCGGACAGTTCATTGTCACAGGAAAGCAGTGATATTATGATACGTTACAATCGGGCAATACGATAGCTGTCGCCCTTCAAGACTTCATGAGTATGCAAAGGTCTGGAGTCGGTTGAACAAAAATACATGTTCCGAAGCTTTACGGGCCATATAGGCCCAGATTTCAGAGTACTTGGATTATGTCCATCGGTTGTATAGACGGGATGCTAGGATATGATTGTACGATACCATGACGACTTCAATGCCCTTATGCACAGGGTATGATATAAAGCTAGACGAGTTAAGCTCCAGACGTTTCCATATCAACAGCTGTATGAAAATTAACAGCTATGTTAAAGCATACTCTTCTATATCCCTGCCGAACATTTATCGATCTCGAACGCCAACTTCACGGAAGATTATGAGTATTCACACCACGTCCATGATGATTATCTAAACTGTCAAGGCCTTCGAACTTATTCTTGCCATGGGATAAGCATCACTAATATGCAGTCATCAACGGGCAAGCTCAGGACGAGCTCCTCCGCAACTGCTTCCCCGCATTGTCCACATCTCCGCATGCGATCTGCGACATCTCCACCTCGCGCCCGCTGTAACACCACAGACACCCTGCAGCTGGGTCCGGGTAATTTTGTCTTCGGGGCTTTGAATACGCCGAGCAATCCCAATGCGAGGCGCGTTCCGTCTGCCATACATTGGCCATATGGAAATGACTGGGGTGGCTAAACATGGCGCAGATATATGGCATGGCATGTAAGCTCCACAGGCTTGGCGGTAAGTCGATCTCGTTTTCCGTGTGCTGTCGCTGAAGTCATGGCTCGATTGTCCTTCTTCTTGAGGGTACTGCTTGTGCCAGCTGGCTTAGTGCTGAGCCAGACGTGCTGGCGAGACACTCCTTGTAGCGATATTACGGAGGCAGCGTTTCCCGGAGATTGGGACTCGTACATTTATGCACCCCCTTCACGAACGGTCTCGCCAAAATCAATCTTGTCAACAGAGAGTGGAGAGGTAATATCGTCATGGCCGCGCGCGGCCAAGCTTCAGAGCAATGGATCAAGCCTGGTCTTCGATTTCGGTCTGGAGGTTGGCGGCATCGCGACGATCAAATATGCCGTCAGCGGCAGCGGACCGGGCTCACTCGGCGTTGCGTTCACAGAAGCAAAGAATTGGGTTGGAGAGTGGTCTGATGACTCGAACGGGTCGCAGAAAGGAAAAGACGGTGCGATCTACTCCAATTTCACGCATGCCGGCGATGTCGTCTATGTCATGCCAGACGAAAAGCTCAGGGGCGGTTTCCGCTACCTGACACTTTTCCTTATGGCACAAGACGCATCCGTCTCTATCACAGAAATCTCTCTGGAGCTCGGCTTCCAACCTACCTGGTCCAATCTCAGAGCTTACCAAGGCTACTTCCACTGTGACGATGAGACGCTCAACAAGATCTGGTACAGTGGAGCTTACACGCTGCAGACGAATACTGTCCCTGTCAACACGGGTCGAGCCGCCAAACCAGGACTTACAACCGGATGGGCAAACAACGGAACCTTGGGTTCAGGCCACACCATCATCGTCGACGGGGCCAAGCGCGACCGCGCCGTGTGGCCAGGAGACATGGGGATTGCGGTCCCATCGTCATTTGTCTCGATCGGTGATCTGGACTCTGTCAAGAATGCCCTGCAGGTCATGTACGACTACCAGAACGCGGACGGCTCATTCCCAGAGGCAGGACCCCCTCTGTTGCAGCAGGACAGCGACACGTATCACATGTGGACCATGATTGGCACATACAACTACCTGCTTTACACGAACGACACGGCCTTCCTCGCCCAGAACTGGGAGAAATACCTCAAAGCGATGAACTACATGTTCAGCCTGCTCCAACCCAACGGTCTACTCAACGTCACCGGCACGCGCGACTGGGCGCGGTGGCAGACGGGATACAATATGAGCGAGGCGCAGATGATTCTCTACCGGACGCTGGTGACGGGCGCAGACCTCGCCGGGTGGGTGGGCGACTCGAGCGGGCTGGCTGCGAACTGGACACAGCAGGCGGCCGTCCTGAAGAACGCGACGCTCTCGCTCTGTCTGGATGGCGCGTACGGCGCCTTCAAGGACAATGCCACGGCGACGACGCTGCACCCGCAGGACGCCAACTCGATGGCCGTTCTCTTCGGCGTGGTGGATGCCGACTCGGCACTGGCGCAGAGCATATCTTCGCGTCTGACGGACAACTGGACGCCGATTGGGGCGGAGGCCCCTGAGCTGCCAGGAAACGTCAGCCCGTTCATCTCGAGCTTTGAGATACAAGCACATCTAATAGCAGGGCAGACGGGCAGGGCACTGGAGCTGATCCGGCGGAGTTGGGGCTGGTACCTGAACCATCCGAATGGGACAGGGAGCACTGTCATAGAAGGATACCTGACTAACGGGACGTTTGGGTATCGGTGGAATAGGGGCTATGGCAATGATCCCAGTTACGTGTCCCACGCCCACGGATGGTCTGCGGGCCCAACAAGTGCCCTGACGGAGTTTGTGCTGGGGCTGGCCGTCACTGGTCCGGTAGGGTCTACCTGGCAATTCGCGCCGCAGTTCGGAGACTTGAAGAAGGTAGAGGGAGGCTTCATGACGGCCCTCGGTAAGTTCCAGGCGAGCTGGAGTAAGGGAGAGGAGAAGTACGAAGCGGCTGTTGTAACGCCTAGTGATACCTCGGGACAGCTGATACTCCCGGTGACTACACAAGGAAAGAAGCCTAAGGTTGTGTTGGACGGCAAAGTGGCATGTACAAAATGGTATCGCCGAAGCCAAGCGGTGTCCGATCTCGTTGTAGTGCAGACGATCGGCGGGACTCACAGCATCGTAGTGAGCGATGCGTGAGAAAGAAGGATAGAAGAGACGCAATAGACCGTTGTCTAACACATGCCGCCACCACTTTCCACATGTCTCAGCCAAACGCTCCTCGAGTCACTCTAAGTGCCGACATGAAACACCTGCAATGGCAGATGCGGCTGAACGCCAGCTCTTGCTTCTTTCAGGGCTTGACCGCCATAAGCCAGCTCCATTAAGCCTCATATAGTGGCGTTCAAAAGTGATAGTCACATAGCAGAGAACAACGTAAATATATACAGTGAATTATATTATAGGAGCATGGGTCCATATATCTAAGGACATCTGTGCATTCCCTCGTGAACCCAAGTCATGATCCCTTTTATTAAACCCCCTATTTCGCCGGCAAACCTTCTATTATGTAGTAAAATAAAGAAAATATCACCAAGAAGAAATCGTCTAGTTGCGAGAAATCTGGCGAGTGGATTGGGCGTACAGCTGCAGGGTGTTGCCGTTGCCGCAGGTCTCGGTGGCGTCACCAGCGCAGGGCATGCTGCACCTGTCGTCGGCCAGGGGCGGGGTTAGGTCATCAAAGTTGTTGCCGCACCAGCACTCCTGGCCGTACTCGAGACCAGCATAGGTGTAGCCGAGGTTGCCGCATAGGTAGAAGCACATCTCGTGGGTCATCTTGGAGGAGGCATACGAGGTGGTCAGGAGCTTGGAGCCGTCGGGCTCGGAGTAGCAGCCGACGTACTCAAAGTCGAAGGGGCCGCCGGGGGTGGGCAGGACACCCGAGTCGCCGTTCTCGTACAGGCTCAGTAGCATGCGTCCACCGCAAATCTCAGCGGAGTTGCCAGAGCATCTAGCATCGCAGAGGCTAGAGTCAACGGGGAAGGCGTCCGAAGCAAGCTCATTGCCGCAGTAGCACTCAGAACCATACTCAACGCCGTAGAAGGTATAGCCATCGCAGAGAGAAGCGCAAAGCCCGACGGTCATGTCGGAATTCCAGTACCGCTCAGACAGAGCACGGCCAGAGGCAGGCTCGCTCCAGCAGCCGAGAGAAGAGGGTCCGGTGGGAGCTACAAACGAAATATTAGCAGGTGAGACCGAGTAGGAGTGATCAAATCAACTTACCGGCAGTGGTGGAAGTGGCAGCCGTGGAGCTCGTTGAAGTAGTGGTCTCAGATGAGGTGCTAGTAGCAGCCTCAGTGAAGGAAGAAGTGGTGATCTCAGAGCTGGTAGAAGTAGTGCCCGCAGCCTCAGTGAAGGAAGAAGTGGTGATCTCAGAGCTGGTGGAAGTAGTGCCCGCAGCCTCAGTGGAGGAAGAAGTGGTGACCTCAGAGCTGGTGGAGGTAGTGCCCGCATCCTCAGTGGAGGAAGAGGAAGGCGAAGACGAAGACGAAGAATAAGACGAAGAGGAAGAGGTAGAAGTGCTAGTGATGACGGGAGTGACATAGGTGGTCACTGGCTGGGTGATGAGCGGGACGTTGATGCAGCTGCAGGCGCTGGACAGCTTGGCAGGCTCATACGAGGTGGTGATCAGGGGAGAGGGGTAGACGGTGGAAAAAGGGGGCATGTCCAGGCTCGTGGGGATGCTATATCTAGTTGTGAGTTTGAAGTCTAGTTGATACAGAAGACGAGTTATACTTACGCCGCTGCGTCGGTGGTAACGGTAACAGTCGAGTAGACGACTGAGTGGATGTAAGTCTCGCAGAAGGCGATAGCCTGGCTGGTGTAGCGGGCATCTCTGAAGCGGTTCAGCAGGTTGTTTCCGTTGCAAGCCCGGGCCTCCAAAGGAGAGGCCTCAACCACAGAGGCAGCGAACAAGGCGAGGGCTGAGCCCTTAAGAGCAGACTTCATAGACATGGTGTATGATGGATTTTGCTTCAACAACTGAAATTGACTTGAATGAGTGACTGAATGATCGAAAAATGAGCGACCAGTTAAAAGAGTGACAGGAACCAAAGGCTGCTGAACGAAGCAAGGGAAAGGGCATGTGCCTCATGACAGAGAACTGGCCATCTTTATATCTCTCACCTCCTCCCGCCCCGTTACCTGTAACAACGGCATCGTCCCAGGTTGAGCCCAGGAGACGCGCGCTCAAGTCTGTGAGACTATCGACATCTCCTAACGAGCACTGGCTTTCAGCTCATCCTCAGTTGCCCTAGTGCCCGGAACAGTGACTGGATAGTCCCTAGATTCTGGTCCGGCAGCCGCCACGGTGATGCATCGTGAACATCTAAGCGGGAGTGTCTCTTGACTTGGACACAGGCCATCATGTAAGGTACGGGAGGCTAGTGGCTGGCCGAGTGCCGTGGTTGGCTACTTGTAGAGGCTGATGCTCACTAGGCAGGCGGTAGCGCTGCATTAAGGCCATGCATAAATTTGCCCGGGCAAGTGCTGAATAGATGCACTATTGGCAGCGAAAACAGACTACCTCGATGATAGTAAGACACTCAGCCTGCAAAACAAACGAAAAACACGTGCGAATCACACACGCGTCCGCACTAAAATATCCTGGACCATCTTTCAAGCTTAGATGTGAAGGGTTCTAGACCGGATCCGCTGTGACGGAGCCCCGGGAGCCCCGACGCAGGGGGAGAGGGGAGATCTGGTGCAGAAAGGGAATATCCTGGCAAAGTAAGATGGAATTTGTCTCTTTTGCGATATGGCTTGGTCCCGACATTTCGGAACGTATTGTCGGTGGAAACACTGGTCTCGATCCTTCACCATACCAACGATCCGTCCATTGGCCGCTGCAGCAGACAATAAAAGCTCAACTCATCCACTCGGTTGTAGAGCCACTTCGCCCACTTGCAAAGCTCCTATAGTCACCACTTGGTCTTATGTGCAGCACACGTCGAGCCTATGCACCCCGAAATTTCCCAAGACAACGCATCACTCGATGGTATCAGTCTCGTATTGACATGGAGCCTTATTGTCTTGTGAAGTGTGAAGCAAACTGATGTGTGTCGTATGGCTTAACTAACAGGACTTACATGTTGCGGCCGCGATGTCTGTGGGTGTGGTGACAGCAGGAGCGCGGTGGTCTCTTGAGCTGCAAGGGCTGATAAGATCTGATTCGAATGTCGGCGACAGCGATAAGAAGTCTTGATGAAGGAAGTCTGATGAAATGGCAGATGGCATGAGCTTCGTGCAGGTACCATTGTCCTTTATGTACATGGATGGGGACCCGTTCCCGACAGGCAAGCCAGAATGGGGTGACTCAATGGGCCTGAGAATTTTTCCTGAATGGAGTATGATGGATAGAGTTCATGGAGGCCATGGCTATAGTTAATGTGAAGAGGCCGTCAGCTCACCTAGAGTTATCAGGTAGATAAGGTTTACGGTTGGTATAACTCTCTAGCATCACAGCATAAACAGATTTGACTGCCGATTCAGCATGGCTTCCACATAGTACCCGAGGCTGTCTGTGAGCGTTGAGGCTTACTGCCGAGGACTTAGTAGCTGTTAAGGAGGTTGAGGCTACGACTGGTGGTGCCGTCAGAGCTAACGCTGTACATGGTTAACGGTCTCGAGACTGTGGTGGTATCTTCACGACTGGCAGGAGCCCTAAAGCTTATTCTTATGGAAGGTGGTAGCATGAGGCTCTTATCACTACATACTTCTTCATAATTGCCAGCGTATCCTTATATTGCTATTACTATTCTTAGAGCCTCTTTACGAGCTATTAGAGACCTCAGGACTTACTACTATAGAAGATATTCCTGTTAGAAAACCCTACAAATAAGTATCAGAAAGAGGACGATTGATGAGAAGGTTTTACTGTGTTAACTTAGTGACTGTGAAGAGAGACAATAGTATTACGTCTTAAGTCTGTATATTATCGTGTATTGGATAGAGTGATCTGGGCCGAATCTGATCAAATAAATTGAGGCACCATCTGTTCGATGACCACAGGTCAGAGGCCGTCCTCAGATGATGAAATCCTCAGGTGTCTTTAGGTTGCTGCGAAAAACGACATGGACAGCACCCTTCGAATAATGACTCGATCGCAAAGGTCCTCCAGAGTTCATGGCGACAATGCCACTTGACTGGTATTAACTTAAATAATGGGAATGTGAAGTCACTTCTCACGGGAGAATCCATAGGCTAAATCCCGATGTGCAAAGAAACTCAAGCCATACGTAACACATACTTCACGCCTGTCTGTCGTGTGACGGAGGACAGAGAAAACGTGGGGAAGGTATGGCAAAGCTGGCCTTTCCACTTTGGACGGAGCTGGAGCGCTTGAGCACTTAAGCATCTTGAGTAACTTTGGCCACGCTCGACTACTTGCAGGCTCTTATCATTGCCTTGAGAGCTTGCTAGAACTTTCTGTAGAAAGCTGTCAAAGGCACGATCTGCTTGTCCATTTTGAGAGGTCGTCCTGCTGTCTAGTCTAGACCAGAAAGATCGAGTTTTTGGGAGTCTCGCGCCTTGGACGGACTAGTAGCTGGTTGTTTTCTTATCAATCACTAGGCCAGCGACGGCGCTTGGAAGAAGCCACAGGAGTGGGCGCCAGCGAGCCACGAAGCCCACAAGGGGGCGGCTTAAATGCTCCAGCAGCCCAAATTTTAAAATGAGGACTGCCGAATCGAGCATTAAAGACAGGGGTCGAACGGACCCGTTTCTGGCGGGGACGGCAGCGGTAGCATGCGGGAGCATCAAAGTGCTCCTATTGCTCTGCGTGTGATTGGTATTTTGTAAAGTCTTTGATTGATAGACCCGAGACTTTTGAGAGCAACAAGAGAAGGTTCGTCCGATCACCGTTCAATCGCTGTTCCATCCTGTCTCTCGACGGCCGGCATCCGCACGTGGGAGAGGGGGTAATGGATGGAAAGCTGTACGCCGTGGGAGCCCAGACGCTGACAGCTGCGGGCAGGAATACAGGCCTTGCCTTGACGGTGCACTCGCATGCGCAGTACGGCTGGATGGATGACGGCAGACGAGGATCCCCCTCAATCCCCCTAGTCGATCGAGACGGCTTGCAGCAGCCACGCAGTTGGGTAAAGGAGGGGCTTGAGGGGTTCGCAGAGGTTTGGCGGCTTCTGGCGGTCTGGGCTTGGGGGTTTCCCGGGGGGTGGTTGTCTTCCCAATGTCCTTGCCTGCCAGCTTGCAGCTCGCCAGCCTGCCATTCGCATGAGCAGCAGCCCGGCACGTCAGTCAATCATGACATCGAAAATAGCAGAGCTTCTGCATGGTATGACGTCCCGCCGCCACATTCGACAAGCATTGCGTGCGCACAACCAGGACGAGCCAGCAACAGCAGCAGGATGCCTCAAAAACAGGCTTGAGTCTCTTGCTCCTGCTGTGTTAGTTGAGTGAAAAGGTAGTATCCTCCGGCTGGCCTTCCGAGTGCCTGATAAAGCTTCGACTCCCTTTGTACGTAAGCGCGCATTGGGAAGAGAAGATCGAATGGGGTAACAGAAGATCAAGCAACTGGAACCGCCCTCCGACTGACTGTGATAGGCTCATTGTTGGCGACGAGCTGCCCTGTCCCCAAACCGGCCAGTAGGCAGGAAAGGTGAGGCAGAAGGGATAGTGTCATCCGGCAGCCAGGTTCCTGCCTGCCTTACGTAGGTAGTCTCGCGTAAGATGCTTGCTCTCTCGGGGTATATCATTCACAATGCTGCCTTCCTGGCTGCTGTCTTGATGAGCCGCGTAAATCAACAAGTCAGATCAGGTAAGACAGAGAGTTAGGCAAGGTACAAAAGGGGGCTACATCTTGTGCGATGGGTCTGTCATGGATTGGAATGGTAATCTGGCATCTCAATCGACCAGCAGAATGGTAGATAAGGTGGTCTTGTCGCCGAGTCAATCTTCCTGGTGCCGCGCGGGAGGATATTCCAAGGTGTGTAGGTGTGGTATAGTACTACGTAGTAGACTCGACCGGTAGCTCTTTCCTCGGGGGTATCTCCTGCCATTTCATGCATAATGTCATCACCTGCGGGAAAGAAGCTAATTCTCTATAATAAGGGGAAACTGAAGCTAAGTTAAAAAATATAGCATTAAATTAGTAGGTAAATGACAGAAGCACCAGAATCAGCGTTAATAAGATAGGTAGCGCACAGTAAGGTAGAGCGGGTGCGGCCCAGCGCTCCATTAACAACTGCATTTCAACGCCTTCCATCATGCCCACTTCTGGGGGGAAAAATGGGGGTGACACGTGACCCTGGCCGTCCATTTGATTGCGCTAATGCAACGGTCTATCGCCCCCCAGTTGTCCCAGGCAAGCGAGGCGCTCTAATAATGGATTAGAGGAGAAAACACCATCTTGACGTTGCAACCCCCGACCGTCGTCGTCCCCTCGAACTCGACCAACTCGCCATATACACGCAGGACTGACCGGCTGACTGGCCAGACGACCGACTCCTCGACCGCCGCAATACCCTCCGTTGGCCGTGCCCTCGCCATCGCAGACGAACGCGCGGTACTGGCCCTGTGTCTAGTGTCCAGTCCTCTGCCGACACGGTTAGCGTCCTTGTCATTCGCCGCCCAGCGTCTACCAACACCGACACCGACACCGACGACTCAAACAGCGTCGAACCCGCTGTCCTACTCCGATCACCCGATGCCGATGTGACAAGGGGACCTGGCTGATCAACCGACCGACCGCCGCTCGGGGAGGTGTCACCTCGTTGTTCAATATCCTCTTTCAAATTGTTACATAGTATCCTTTCACGTCGCTCCCACGGTACGGACGGACCGGTCCTGCGCTGTTGTCGGAGGAGATTCGTCACGACTCCTTTTCCTTGCCCCGATTCCTTGCCCATGATAGTTCCGCAACAGCTTTCTCACCGTCCTCGCTCGACCGACGTACGCAAGAAAGGGGAAACCGCCGGCGTTGGCCTGCATCGAGGCCCCCTACTGCTTTCTAGATGATGGTGCGTGTAGATCCACATGTTCGCGCCACTCCCTGGCTACCGCGCGACCTTCTATAGTAGCACCAACTTGCCTCACGGCCGCCGGTGCATTGTACAGATGGACTGACCTATTTTTCTTACTCTCCTTTGCTCTCCTCCTCTTACCTACATCCCTTCGTGGCAGACAGAGTACCGCCTTCGAAGCACCGGCTCGACCCAAACCCCTGACTAACAAGCTTCTGTGCTGCAGACCTCATCCCGACCCCGCGATGTCGGCGGCAGTTTTGCAAGTCGACGCGGCCATGGTAGCCAGCTGTCAATATCCGACCCCAGTCACCACGTCACCGAGGCCATCGGCACCTTGTACGGCTCCGATGATGAAGATGCTGCGCCTGACCACCGTCTCGACCACGACCACCGGAGCCGACCGTTGAGCTTCATTGCCTCTCCATATGGGGGCGAGCAACTGAACAAGCAGCAACAAAATGCAGAATATGGCGACGATCCCCGTCGACCCCTTTTTCGCTCGACCTCTGACAAGACCGGCGTAACGCTGGCGACACCATCGAATCCTAATGGGAATAACAGTGGTGGCGGTGGTGGTAGTGGTGGTGGCACCATTAAGAAGTCGCACACATTACCGGCGCGGATGTCGAGTCAAAGGAGTTCTTCTTATGAGAACGGACCTCTCTCACCAATAGCGCCCATCTCTCCGCTTTCCCCGACATTATCACTACGCGATGTCCAGGCAGCAGATGCTAACGGCTCCCATTTCCCCTTAACGAACATCGATAATCCCAATGACATTGCCCAGGAGTTGAGCAACCTGCAGGCGCTTCGGCGCATGTCCATGGATGTTGGAAACACCAGTGATCCTGATCTACTGCCATTCCAGGGCATGTCTCTGATGGCCATGCCCTCCATAGCTCCAACCGGCGACGATGACGAGACTGATGTTTCCCGGCTGTTGTGGGTGCCTGCAAATGTGCACCCTGAACTTGCCCCAGATCAATTCAAGAATTTTCTGGAAAATAGGGTCAACTCGATGAAGAGGAGATCTGGAGAATCTATGCTCTCTGTTGACGGTTTGCAGAGGAATGATTCTGGGAGTCTTCGGCGGAAGAAGTCCATGTTGTCCAGGCAAATAGATAATGCGGGTGGTCATGGTGCGGACGGCTACGTCGACGGTGCGGAAAGACTTGAGCGGAAAGAGTCGGTAAATGGGCACGCTACGCCAGAGCTGAGCTTGAACGAGCTGGTCAAGGACCCTACAAAAGCTGTGCAGAAGTTGGCGCATGATGCACAAACTTTGGAAAGTGCAACACCTGACGATATGCCAATACTTCCTGTGGCTCCAGGCATGGGCCTGCGGCGTTCCACCCGCACAACCTACCGAAAGGGGGGCAGTCTGAGAGGTGACCGTGTTCCATTCTCAAAGCGTGTTGCTCAGAGGCAGGCAGAGAAAGATTCGGATGAAGCAGCCCCTCCCCCTAAAGTCGACGCACCTCCAGGTCATGGTTTGACTCGGGTGCAGTCAGAGCCCGTGGCAGAAAACTATTCACGACCGACTAGGTCTGTAAGAAGGCAACAGGGCTTCACTCGCGACGCTCCCTCTACGACATCTCCCCCAACGGTTGCCCCGGAAGAAACCGCAGAGAGTCTCTCGGCATCGACATCCAACATGTCTCAACAGCAACTCCCAATCAGAACTTCATCTGCAGCTTCTACTATACCACAGATTATTGAGACACCTCCGAACGATGAACAAGAAGCACCTCCCTCAAGACCTTTCCCTCAGAGGTCATCGTCACAAAAAGCTGCGGCCCAACTCCTTTCTCAACAGCAGCAACAACAGCAGCCCCAGCCTCAGCAGGCACAACAACCATTCCAGCCTGACCAACCCCCACCTCGGTCAAGTAAACGCCCATCATTAGGCAGACCAACCCAAACTTCACCCCCACCATCGCAGCCAGCTCCTGAGACTTCTCCTACGCAGGCTTCCTTCTTGAATGATATGGCTAATCATCCATCACCACTTCCTGGCAGCGGATCCACGCGCACTGATAGCTTGACATTTATTCCCACCTTCTCTGGCGAGGAGAGGAGAGGCGACAGGAAGTCGAAAGGTGAGGAGTCTGATTCAAGCAAGCTTTCGAGCGGCTGGAAATGGTTCAAGAGCGACGACAAGGACAAGAAGAAAAAAGACAAGGAAAAGGAAAGGGACAAGGAGAAAGAGAAAGAAAAGGAGAAAGAAGATCCGTCAAAGAAGGCCAAGGGCAAAGTCGTGGACAAATCACACGAAAACGCTCGTCTCGATGTCATACAGAGTTCTATTGACACTGTGGTGGCAAAGGGCCGTGAGAGCCTTCTTTTGGACAGAGAGAGCATCGACAATAAGCTGCACGAGGAAAGGAGAAAGGAGAGCAGCCGCAAGTCAAGCGACTCCAAGAAGGAGAAGGATGGCTTCTTTGGATCCTTTTTCGGCGGCTCCAAGAAGAAGACCGACAAGGAGTCTTCAAACAGGAAGAGCCAGAGAGCTCTCTCGCCTGATCCTCCAGCACGGACGCTCCGACCAGATGTCGACTTTCCCTATACTCGGTTCCCCATCCTGGAGGAACGTGCTATCTACCGCATGGCCCACATCAAACTTGCCAACCCAAAGCGCAACCTTCTCAGCCAGGTTCTGCTCAGCAATTTCATGTACTCATACCTGGCTAAAATCCAAGCGATGCACCCGCAAATCCAGGTCCCAACCTCTCCGGCGCAGAAGCGGCAAGACGAGGAGCGCAAGCGCAAGGAGCAGGAACAAGCATACTTGGAACAGCAAATGCAGCAGCAGCAACAACAACAACAACAATCTCAAAGCAACATCGACCACTATAACTTTGAGTACCATCGAGTATGATCCTCCCACTCCGTGAGGTGTTGTCTATGATGCTAATCTGATGCTAGTCCACCAACCAATATGGCGACTCTGGTCAACATGAAGGAAGTGTTGATTATGTCGATGATTCTGAGATATATGACTATGAGCACGGGCATGATCGGCAACGCAATGATGGCGGCTCTCCTTCTCATCAGAATGGTGGATACCATGCCAACGAGGGGTATGGGCAGCAGGGCGGTCAGGAATATTACGACTATGGCCAACATAATGGAGGGCATGATGGCCAGCGGCGTGAGGACGACGATGATATGTGGTAAGAGGGGCTGGCAAGTTGTTGGAGGGCATCATATCCTGCTGCACCTGCATGGAGTTTTGGACAACACACGGGACACTCGATTTCAGCCCCACCTGTCCCTGTTTCTACATCCCTTTTCCTCGCTTTCCAATCTTTCGACGTGGCCCTCTTCCTGTTTGGAGTGGCACTGATGGGTACAAAGCATAGCCGGCGCGGACTGGGGGTTTTTGTCTTTTCTTTTCTTACTTATCTGGGCATATATCGATTGTCACCACCCTCGCCTTCGTTTGAACGCATTATAGTCAGCGATTGGGGTGGTGCAGCGATGTTGGCACGGCAGCTGTGGCAACGAGCGGAGTGGTTGGTGATTTGCAAGTAAGGAATGGCCTGTAACAAATCACAAACATGTTCTCTCCAGCTTGAGTCCAGACTGCAATGCGAATAATTTTTCCAATGTACTATATATATAACTACAGCGCCACCTCGTGACTGTCTCGTTTCTTGAGATATGTGTTGGTGCTACCTATTGGATGCGGACTGGAGATGGAAATATCAATTCATACCTATCATAGGTTGCATCGAGAACAAGTATATTCTTCCGACTTTGTCCAGACTGCGCAGAACCAACATGAGCCAGCATTGCTTCTCATGGTGCATATGCAAGAGACAGAGTATGGCTCAATTAGTTCATGACTATTGATAAGTTTTCATTCTATCGGTTCGGAGGCCCCTTCTTACTTACTCACTTAGCTAAGCTATGACTGTATGAGCTACTGTATACCAGGCGCTCACAGCATATTAAGCACTGGTCATCATATTTCTCATAGACGCTCTCTAGGCCAAGAAATCCGTAATATTGTGTATCCCACTGGAAAATGTCTCTTTGTAGCAGAAGATGGGGGTTGATGACTCTCTGAGAGGCTGAATCAAGGTGAGACTAAGGTAGCCGCACAGGGGGGGCTGTTGTGCACGGCCCCCAGAAGCCCTGGAGGAGGACAATAAAGCCACTAAGCCGCAAGCGGCAAATGGCCCAGCTGGCACGTCGCAGGCCAGCAGCTGCCAGCCATTCAGGTGGGAGCTGGCAGGGGGAACTTTTTCTCTGTGCAAAACCGAACCTCCAATCTCTGGGATCGACCTCACGTAGCAGTTACTATTGCCTACCTGTACCTAAGGTATCCAATCCAACATCGACGCTCAGTTTTCGTCGCCTTCCAACCCGCCCCTCTCCTCCTCCATCTCCATCGTCGTCGCCGACCCGATCACGACCTCGACCTCGACCTCGACCTCGACCTCGACCTCAGATTGATCTCACGACGCTCCGTTCCCCGTCAGATTGTACCAACATCCCGCCTGCCGTCTCGTCGTTGATACCCCAAAAGCACGTCTCTGTCTCCATCGTTTCCGCGTGGTTTTAGAGCGGCGCTTTCACGTCTTCATCTCTTCCTCTGAAGCTCGTCTCGAGGTGCTGTCATCCGTATCTTTCTCGACCGAGTGAGAGACAGACACACGCAGTAAAGAACAGCCGACTGCATCCTCGAAGCAGCTTCCGTGCCTTCGCCTGCTTCTTCTTTCCTTCCTTCCTTCCTCGACCGCAGCTTCGTCGTCGACCTTCCCGTCGTCCCTCTTTTCTTCCCCGACTGCACCTGCCTTAGAATGGCCAACGTGAGCAACCCATAAATCCTCTCTTTTCTCTTCCCTCTTCACCTGCTCTTCACCATCGGTCGCAAATCTGCGCTTCACTTCTGCACAAGCTCTCATCAACCTCAAACCTCCAAAGTGCCTCTCAGTACTCGTCTTTTTGGCGCACTCTTTTCTCACTCTGCCCTGCTCCTTGTACACACCGTAGCCCAGCATGTCTGCGCCGGCCGTCATCATGCCTCATCCCCCACACAGGCCCTGGGGCCAATCTCACAACAAACCACTGACCCCAGCCCTCGATCAGCAGAACCGCCATCCTTACAACAGCCAAGGCTACCTGCCAAACGGTGCGACCGGTGGCCACCCGACCATGCCAGCCCCAGGCGCCACCCCTCTCCTACCAAACCAGGGACGAGTCATCCAGACAGGTCCCATCCGAGTTCTTTGCATCGCTGACGTCCGAGGTATGGAGCTTCGCTTCGCCCCTTACCTTTCGAATGCGCCGGCTAGTTTGACTCACGTGCTATAGGTAATCTGCGATCTCTGAACGATCTTGCGAAGCAAGCCCGTGCAGACCACATCATTCATACTGGAGACTTTGGTTTCTACGATGACACCTCGCTGGAGCGGATTGCTGAGAAGTAAGGACTGACCACATTCTCACCCTGCCGACAGCTTGCTAACATTGGTGCTTCACAGGACCTTGAAGCATGTCGCCCAGTACTCTCCCTTAATCTCGGAGCCGGTCAAGAAGGCCATCCAGCAGGGTGGTGCTGGCCCCGTCAAAGCTAGATTCCCACCGAATGAACTTCCCTTGTCAGAGCTCCCACTGCTCATCAGCGGTGATGTGAAGCTCGATATACCTGTCTACACAGTGTGGGGAGCTTGCGAGGATGTGCGAGTACTGGAGAAATTCCGTTCCGGAGAGTACAAAGTGCCGAACCTCCACATCATCGATGAGGCGCGATCGATGCTGCTCGAGATTGGCGGCGTGAAGCTGCGTCTGCTCGGTCTCGGCGGCGCTGTGGTTATGCACAAGCTCTTCGACAACGGCGAGGGTAGGACCACCATCGCTGGTGGCCAAGGTACCATGTGGACCACCCTATTGCAGATGGGCGAGCTGGTAGATACGGCGAACCGCGTCTACGACCCTACCGAAACCCGAGTGTTCGTCACCCATGCCTCACCAGCGCGTGAAGGAATCCTCAATCAGCTCTCCGTCACCCTGAAGGCCGACTTCTCCATCTCTGCTGGTCTACACTTCCGCTATGGCAGCTCTTACAATGAGTTTAGCGTAAACCCCACCCTCGACCACTATCGCGGAAAGTTGGCTGCCAGCAAGGCCTCCTTCAATGACGTTTGGGAGACTGTCAAGAATGAGGTTGAGCCGGCTATCTCACAGAACGAGGCGCAACAAAACCTACTAAAGAACGCGATCGGCATCGTAGAAAAGATGCCTACCACTGCTGCTGGTGGTAATCCCTTTGGCGGCGGTGCTGCACCTGCAGCGCTCGGCCAAGTGGATGAGAGTGCGTTCAAGAACATGTGGAACTTTAACCTCGCGGATGCGGCCTTTGGATGGCTCGTACTGGAAATCCAGGACGGTCGCATTGGCACAGAGATGCGAGCCCAGGGTTTCAACTTCTCGCACCGTGGTGCGAAGCAGGCCGGCAATGCCCAAGCTCCCTCAACTACCTCAGCTGGCCCCCTGCCTGCTGCAGCTCCACCTGCTACGCAGACTGCTCCATCAAGCGCCCCCGTGCCGCAGCGTCAACCGTCTCAGCAGCCTTCCAAGCCAACTGGCACTACCCCAATTCCCCAAGCTGCTACTCCCAGCCAAGCGAAGCCGGCTACTCCTGCGCCTACGTCCTCGACACCTGCACCCAAAGAAGACAAGCCGGCGGCGCCCAATGGAACAGCAAATGGACTGGACTCTGCCTCATCTCCTGCCCCTAGAACCAATGCCAGTGATATCATTGGCCTGTTCGTCATGAATGCAACTTCGGATGACCAGATCAGAGAGATCTTCGCTGAGGAGGACAGGTCTAAGATCACCAAGGTTGAGAAGTGGGGCCAGTTGAACAAGGTGGTTCAGTTCAAGACCACGGAGGACCGTGACGGTGCCATGGACCGACTCTCCGATGAGTTCAAATCCCGATCCCAGGAGGACCGATCGAAGCCTCTTGTCAAGATCTTCCAGCCTCGTGAGACCAAGGCTTTCCCTCCGAGAACGGGAGGTGCTGGCAACTGGGGTAGCAGCACCCGTGGAGGTGCCAACTCTAGCACACCGCGCAGTGGATATCAGAGCGCCGGCGGCGGAACAGCTTCCGATAGCGAAGGTGCTGGACGACGTGGTGGCCGAGGAGGATCCCGTGGCGGACGTGGTGGTGACCGCGGTGGCAGGGGCCGTGGCCGTGGTGGCCTGAAGGGCGAGGGTGGCAGTGGATCTCCAGCGCCGTCATCAGCGACACCTGCCGAGTAGGGCTCGACCGCGACCGATTGGTGATCATTTCGACCTTCGTTCCCTTCGTGTCAGGATTTATCAACGCGCAACAATGCGCAACTCACAATATCTCCCGGGTTTCGCAACCCCAATGTCACATTATCAAACCGACTTCCATTGCTATTACTACCACATTCTACCTTACCTTACCAACCTTTACCTACCTTTTTCTCTTTACAAAAAGGTACCTGTCACCATATTTGGCTTATAGCTTCCTCCTCCCCAGGTATTTTTGCGCTCTCGCTACTGAGGTAATTCCGGCTCGGAAAAGAAAAGAAGACACGATTTTTTGAAACATCACACACCGTGATTCGGGGAGTGGGAGTTCAGAGATCGTATCAGTCTTAGTTCAATCAATGTCACGATCTATAAAACTACGAGTAATTGGTTGCCTATTGTGATGTACCGTGCTTGCGGGCTGTGATACGTGCTCCTATTTTACTAATGTCATGCGTCTTAACTAGAAGAGGTCAGGTCATGATGTCTATATTGGGTTGTTGTATTAGATTGCTGTGGTGAGAGCTAACTCGTGTATTATACAATTCTGCGGAGAGACTGGTCCATGCCCCCTGACAGGTTGGCAGCAAGTCCGAGTTGATCTATCCCTTTTGATGCCGCCACATTATGTTACAGTACAATTTTACAGTTGCATTGGAGGTTCTCAAGAGCGAAGGCCTCAGTCTGTCTTCGCGGCCAGCGGCTTCATGCCCTTGTGAATAGCCGCCACGCCACCGGTCAAATCCTCCCAGCCCTGGCCGCCCACAACAAAGCCGGCGTCGACAATCATGTCACGGAACTCGCGCTGGCTGGGGAAGCGCTCGATGCTCTCGACGAGGTACTGGTAGCTGTCGCGGTCGCCGGCGACGAGCTGGCCGATGAGGGGGATGGCGCCGAAGGACCAGCGCTTGTAGAGGGCGTTGAAGAGGGGGAAGCGGTCGGCCTTGGCGAACTCGAGGCAGGCGAAGACGCCGCCGGGCTTGAGGACGCGGTGGGCCTCGCGCAGGGCGGCGGGGATGTTGCTGAAGTTGCGGATGCCAAAGGCGACCGTGTACAGGTCCTGGGAGGCCGACGGGATCGCCGACAGGTCCTCGGCGTTGGCGACGAGGAAGGAGAGCGCGGCCTGCTGGGACGCGGGCAGCTGCGCCGTGCTGCGCTGCTTGCCGACGCCGAGCATCGCCGGGTTGATGTCGGACATGGTCACGCGCACGTTGGGGTTGGCGTTCAGCACGTGGGCGTGGTGCAGCATGCGGAAGGCGATGTCGCCTGTGCCGCCGGCTATGTCGAGGATGTGCTGGGGTGCGGGCGGGTTGGAGGAGGAGAGACCCGGCGCAAGAGAGGAGACGAAGTGGTCTCTGCGAAGAAGGAGGAGGTTAGCATTTGGTGCATCTGCGTGTGCCCCTCGGCCGAGGTGGTTGAGGAGCTCGAGCTTACTTCCATATACGATGCCACCCGAACGACATGAGATCATTCATGCGGTCGTAGGACTCCGCTACGCTGGTGAAGACACCGGCTACTCGCTCCTGCTTTTCAGACTCGGTGACGGTCTCGAAGCCGAAGTGTGTCTGGCGATCGGATGCATTGTGACTTGTGGAGGAGGTCGATGAGGCGGGCGTAGAGGATGGAGGAACTGCGGCGCGGGATGGGAGAGTCGTAGAGAATGCTCGGGAGGCAATTGATATCCTGGAACATCGCAGAGATGAGGCGATTGGCCTCAGAGCCGGACGGGCAGTCATGGCGGGCAGGTGACTGCTGGGCGGCGAGTTGGACTGTATGCTGCTGGATGAGGTCAGTTGAGAAAGAAGGCTGACGGAAAATCGAAAGATGCTCTACTTTGCTGTGGCTAGTGCTGCGCTCGCTGTGGCTTTGCATTCAGCCTTGTGTGTAGTGGGGTTGTAGGGGGAAGGAAAGGTAGCACAGACAGCCGCGGATTAACGGTAATTAAGCTACGGCGGACTGGGGATTAGGGGAAGTGGGGGACCAAACGGAATATCCTTGAAACGGCCAACAAGGTATCTGGACTTGTTCCTCCGTTTGCCCCTCGAAACATCTATAATTCAGAAATGGGTCGTAGAAAATGCAGTGCTCTGTGTTCTCGCAAGAGTGACTTGGAAGGTGTTACCTTAGACGGAGGAGGCAGCACGCTCGGCATTCTTGGCCTGAGCTAGCGATCCGGCGAACAGGCGGACCATGCTGCGGCCGTAGCATACTGCGATGAGGATGATGGCGAGCACGGATAGGATGGTCAGGGCGATGGCTCCGTTTGCGTCCATATTCGCGTATGTGTGATGCTTGACGATGCTGTCAGGTCTGCTGACCACTTGAGAGAAAATGATCTTGTGTCGTTCAGTCTACGCGATGTGCTTCCAACGCGAGATGGGTTGGTTATGAAAGTAAACAAACGTGTGGGAGATAACCAAGAAGGTGTGTCGGGGCACGCAAGACTAAATCGTCTTTTGGGAAGTGTATTCTAGTGTGGGAGTATGGGACGAAAAGAAATGCACACGAGCCTATGCATAAGCTTCTACTACGTGCATGTTTTGGCAACAGGGGGATTTGACCTTTCTTCTCTACTACGGCTTCAGGGTATCTTTGCCGCCCTCAAACTCGCTGAAATCGTACTCATCTGGGTACTGATCCAAGTGTTCTTTGAGCTCCTTCATCTGGGCCTTGAGGTCCGGCGTCAGCTCCTCATAGACATCCTCGAACATAGTCCTCATCGGCGGTTTCTTCTCCCTTTCCGCTTCCTGGAATGCCTTGAGCAGATCTCTTCTAATGCTATCCCGCGATTCCTTTTCCATATTTTCATTCCAGATACCTTTTGCCTCCATCCATTTTCTCAACCTGGAGATTGGATTGTCCCGCCTCTTCCACTCCTCGACTTCCACTCTTGAGCGATACGCGAACGAGTCATCAGATGTGCTGTGATGGCTCACCCGGTATGTCATGGCCTCTATCAGAACTGGCTTGCCTCCATCCTGAAGCGCCATTTCTCTTGCCTTCTTTGTGGCCTCCCTCACAGCCCATAAGTCGTTGCCATCCACTCGAATGGTGTCGATACCGTATCCGAGACCGCGACTCGCAATACCATCTCCTCGGTATTGCTCTAATGCCGGCGTAGAAATAGAGTAGCCGTTGTTGCGGCAGATGAAAATGACAGGACATGACCGCGTTGCTGCGATGTTCAATGCGGCGTGGAAGTCGCCCTCGCTCGCTGCGCCTTCGCCGAAGTATACTGCCACCACTCTTGGGGGTATTGAGGGATCATGTAATCTCTGCATCTTGAGCGCATATGCGGCGCCTGAAGCCTGTGGTATTTGCGTTGCGAGAGGAGAGGAAATTGTGTGCTGTAACGATGTTAGCTCTCTCCATTTCTCAATCAATGACTATGAGCTTACAATGTTTAGCTCCTTGCTGCCATAATGCACAGGCATATTCCTCCCTTTTCCAACATCATTCTTGTTTGCGAACAACTGGCTCATGAAGTCCTTCGGTGTAAATCCCCGTTGTGCGAACAATCCCTGCTCTCGATATTGGCAGAAGATGACATCCTCCTTGGTCAGAGCCGATGCCGAGCCCACGCAGACGGCCTCTTCACCTGCCGACACCATGTAAAAGCTGATGCGCCCCTGCCGCTGGGAGTCGAACATGAGGACGTCCATGATGGAAGTCAGGAGCATGTGCTTGTACAGCTTGACGACCTCCTCGTCGCTTAGGTCGGGCTTGAAGGAGGGGTCCACAATCTCCCCGTTCTGGTCGACGACGCGGTAGGTCGGCATGGCGGGGAAGTTGGCGGGCAGCTCGAACTTGAGCGTGTTGGTGAAGGCGCTCTTCAGCGCGCCGGGGAAGGAGACATATTTGGAGTCGGGCCGCTGGGAGAGAGAGCTCGCCGCGCGGATCGGGAGCGTGGCAGCGAAGAGCTGGCGGTGCCGGCGGGGTTGTGATGCTCTCCGTAGGGACGGCGCTGCGGCGCTCGGGAGTCTGGCCTTCATTATGTGTGACTGGTGCAAGTTTTGGTAATCTTACCGCGCATGCATTTCGGACAAAGAATAAAGTAAGCCAGATACTCCCAATTGAAGTTCTAGAAATGGATTATCCAAGTCAATAAGGCGGGAAGAGAGGGAGTTGAAGGCGTGTTGTTGACCCTCAGTCAATGCCGAGCTTAGAATTCGACGTCATCTTGGGCCGACACAAAGCGAGCGGCTTAAGATAGCGTTAGCTAAGGAAGACACAATCATCCCCAGTCCCCACGACACAAGCCCGGGGTAAGACGGGCTCCCCATTACGGGCATTCAGCTAGATGCAAGCCAAATATGGCATGTTGGAAGATTTTGGGCAATTTCCAGGATTAACAGACGGACCGTTTGAGCAGATATGCGCAGATGTAGAGCTGGGAGGGTTTCAAGGGTTGGCTGCATTGTCCTGCTCGATGAAGCACCCGAACAGCTAGTTATACCGTGTTAGTCCAGTTGTGAAGCGGTGCTGGGCTAGACAAGCTCTCCTCATCTGTCTGAATCCGATTCTCTGTAGAAAGCGCCTATTCTGGTCTTAGCAACAAACCCATTAAATTTCCCGATTGTCGTAAAGATGTGCTTGTCTTGATGTTAGCTACAGATGGTGCTATAAGCTACTAGGTAGGTAGATGGGCAGGCGGCACTAATCTGCAGCCAAATTCCTATTAAAGCCTCCCGCCGTTGACAGATTTCTAGCCAACGTAACTTGGGCTTCATTGACCCTTTGCGAGATTCCAATTGATTAAGAGCGTTGATGATCAGTAAGTCAGTCAGATGAATCATCCTTGCGGGTTTGGGTTGTAAGTCTACCTTTTCTCTGTCTGTCTGTCACTCACCTCGTTGACGGAATGCCTAATCCGGCACCGTTGGGACGTGATGGGGCATTTTAAGTCGGTATGATGCGCTGGCGGGATGTCGCAAAGGCACCAAGGGACACCAAAATGCTGGGCCGCAACAGGGATCTAGGCTACCTAAGCTCCTAAGGTACCTAAGGTACCTAAGGGGCGCTATCAAGGCAGAGCCGCCTGCTGGCCACTGATAAGGCTTCGATGTGGGTTGGGGTGGGTTCAAGGTTCCAAGGTTCCAAGCTTAGTTACGGACGGCAGCTCCTCATCCCTCCTGCCTGTAACTCTCCACTGGACATTGGACTGGTGGACACTTCACAACGCACACTAACTAACTACCTGGGCATCTGCCCCCCGCCTGAAATGGTGTCGTCCGCCCAGCCTTCCCTAGCAGACGGTACCTCTTCTGGCTGTTGTTCGCTTACAGATTCTGAAGTATCTTTCTTTAATTGAAACAGAGACAACCTTGGAACCCACCTCTCCTACTTTCTCAGTTACCCGACCTGAGCCTGCCTCTGCATTACCTAACCCGAACCTGAGCCACCGGCGGGCAACGCAACCTGACAAACCTCTTATTCTTTTTTATCAGTGTCTCTTCGTGCTTGTCCCTCACTTCACATTCCTGCTTGCTTGCTCGCCATCGATGAAACCACCCAAGAGAGCGCTGTCCATGTGCTGCAACTAGCTGGCACCCTGCGAACCGTTTTAGTTGTCTACCGACCGTCTGTCTGTCTGTTCACCTGTCCGTGTCCGTGTCCGCTTCCGCCGCCTGCCTCATGGCGTAATCCATGGCAGAACGAACAACTGCACACCAGCCGCGCTCCAGACCGGTTGTCGATAACGATCACCACCAGCAACTGCATCACCGTCTACATCCAGCACCAGCCCCGGCACCGGCACCGGCACCGCCAGCCGTGCGCCTTCCGTCTGCGTCCTTGTCCCTGTCTCCGTCGCCCTTCACCTCGACGACCACCCACTCGTCCTCGTCACCGACACTCAGCACGACCGCTCCTTCCTCAGCGCCTTCGACGAGCACACGAGCAGTGGCTGCCTTCAGCAGAACCACGAACAACACCTCTACCTCTCCATCTGCCAGGTACATTCACACCGCCCCCCTCCTTCCACTTTTTGATTTTGTTTTACTTGTGATTTGGTTTGATATCCTTTCATCCCACCCTCTACCTCTTGTTGTCGTCGTTGTCGTCGTTGTTCCCCGCCTTTGCAGTGGAGGCTGGCTGGCTTGTTCGTCCACCTTCCAGCCGCATCTTTGTACACTACACACACACACACACACATACACTACACGCGAAAGCACCTGAGGGTAGCAGAGAACAAGAAGGAAACTACGTCGTCGAGCCTTCCTCATCACAAGCCTCGACCTACGCCTTCACCTCCTGCCTTCTCACCAACCTGTATCTTGATCCCCCACTCGTTCTTTCCTGTCGTCCACCCCACCTTCCTTTCGACGACGGCACCTACCTTCCCTCACCTCTTCCTGCTACCTGCCTTCCTATCCTACCCGTCGCAGGTATCTTGTGTCCTACGACCTCTCGTCAGATATCGTTGGCCACCACCAGACAGAGCTGAGGTCTGCGACCACTTGCGATCTATTTCTGATCGTCAACTTCTCCCAGACCATAGCAGCTCTCGTCTCCCCTCACACACCGGCCAGGAGCCAGACGATCGCTCACCATCGTCGTCAAGCTCAGCTGCCTCACCTCAACTTCCCACCCCACTGCTGCTGCCTTTGACCCTTTTCTGCTCTACAATGCGTCAAATGGCCCGTGGCCACATATTTACTCATGTCGTCTAGAGTCACCCGCTCGTCTGCCCGCCAAGCAGCAGCCAACCAGGCCAGCTCTTCCTCTACAGGATCTTCTGCTGGTCCGGCTGGTTTGGCCGGAACCACAGGCTTAACTTCTTCTTCGTCCTCGGCGCCGGCGGCCTCGACTTCGAACTCGAACAACAACCACCACCCCTCGCAGCCTGCGTCTAGAAAGCGAAAGGCGCCCCCTCCGTCCCCGCCACCAGCACCGGCTCTGGAGCAGCCCCAACCCGTCCGCCGTTCCAAGCGACAAAAGATTCCTGACCAACAATCTCCGCCTCCTCCCGCCCCGCAATCCCATCCACAATCATACGCAACCGCTCGACGGAGAAAGGGCAAAGCTCCTGCGACTATGTCAAGTCCAGAGTAGGTCGTCCTATGAATACCCTGGTGATGTGAAGGTGATATGATGGATGGCTGACGGCAAGCAGGGCTGCACCAGGTCCCTCCAACCCCACAGAGAGCAATCCCTCAGCTTCTTCGAGCCGCAAATCCAGCCGCAGCAAGAAGAGCTTTCAAAATGCCACAGGTATGTCTGATCTTCGAGCGGCAGCGCCTCCCCTCAGACCAGATGTGCTCACGCGCCCGTGTACAGAACCAGCAGCTGGCCCGTCCAGCTCTACCCGCCGATCGAAGAGGAATGCTGGCAACGTAGATCAGGAAGACGTCACCATGGGCGGCACAGACGAGAACGAGAAGGATTACATACCTCCGCCGCCTCCGCCTCCCGAAGGTCACCCAGCAGCCGACGACAGCGAAGAGAACGACGAAGATGATGCCCACCGCTACGACGGTGACGATGATGACGATCCGTTTGGGGGATTTGGAGGCCCCGGCCGCGGTCTCAGCAGCACTCTCGCAGCTCTAACAGGCATAATGCCAGGATTGTCGTCAAGGCTTAGACATGTGTTAACGAACCTTCGGCAAAAGGAGGACCCTACACTCCAACTCATCGCCTTGCAAGAACTTTCTGAGATTCTCCTCGTCTCGAACGAGGACAACTTGGCAGGCCATTTCGTGCCTGATGCTTTTGTCAAGGAGCTTGTCCCGCTGATGCAGCCGGATGACTTCATGGAGGCGAACCCCGAGATCATGCTACTTGCCTGCCGCTGCCTCGCCAATCTGATGGAAGCGCTTCCAGCCAGCGTGGCCAACGTTGCGTGCGGCGGTGCCGTTCCTGTTCTTTGCGCAAAGCTCCGGGATATCGAATTCATCGATCTCGCAGAGCAAGCGCTAAGCACGCTGGAGAAGATCTCACTCGACTACCCGGGCCTTATTGTGAAGAACGGCGGCCTTGCAGCGTGCCTGGAGTATTTGGACTTCTTTGCGACGAGCACACAACGCACCGCAGTGACGACCGCAGCCAATTGTTGCCGCAATATTGATGCAGCCAATTTCGAGGTAGTTCAGGATGCCATGCGAATCTTGCGCGACGTCCTCAAGAGTAGCGATCAGAGAGTCGTGGAGCAGGCTTCATTGTGCGTCTCTCGCATCGTGGATAGCTTCACGGCTAAGCGTCCTTCGAAGTTGGAGGCACTCATCAGCACCGATCTGCTTCAGTCTATCCTTCGTCTTCTACTGCCAGGCACGACGAACCTCATCGGTCCCAATATCCATACCCAGTTCTTGCGTGTGTTGGCAAATACCGCGAGGGCGAGCCCTCGTCTGTCGGCCGAGTTGTTCAAGATGAACGTTGTCGAGACCTTGTACCAGATCCTGACAGGAGTTTCTCCTCCCAACGGCACTGATGACGTCGCTTCAAAGTTGGACAGTGTGCTTATCATGCAAGCACTTATTCACCGACCGAGAGAGCAGATTATCGAGACCCTGAACGTCATTTGTGAACTCCTGCCCAAGATTCCCGAGCCAACTCCTGCAGAAAACATCATGTCTGCAACCCACAGTTCCCGCAGGGACATGGACGACAAGCGAATCGAGCTTTTGGAGACGTGCAAGGATGAGGTCCGACGTTTTGCGCTTATCCTCTTCCCTACCTTGACGGATGCTTTCTCCAGCACGGTGAATTTGGAGGTTCGCCAGAAGGTCCTTCTCGCGCAACTCAAGATGCTGTCCAACCTGGATATTCAGATCTTGATCGACGCCCTGAAGCCTGTGCCGTACGCTTCTTTCCTCGCATCCATTCTATCTCAGCAGGATCACCCTTCCCTTGTCTTTGCCGCGCTGCAAGCCACGGAGCTTCTGATGCGCCGTTTGGACCATATTTACAGATACCAACTTTACCGTGAAGGCGTCATTGCTGAGATCACCAAACTCTCTACAGAGGAGCAAGATTTGGAAGACAAGGCCGGTAGTAGCGATACCCACGACCCTGGTCTGGAGAGACGCTCTTCTGCTGGTTCTGGGGATCAATCATCAGATCAGGACTCTTCGGATGATGATGCGGACGAAGACGAGAATGAGGACGGTGACGGTGACGGCGAAGATGGAGACGGCTCTCATCATTCGTCAGAGGACGAAAACGATGAGAATGATCATGATCATGATGCTGACGATTCACCCGCCTCGCCCAGTTCAGCAGGCTCAACCATGTCAATTGACAGACCTTTGAGATCGAGTGGCATTGATAAAGATGTGCCTCGATCTCGAATTATCGACTTCGCGAAGAAGTTCCTCGAAACTCACGAGACTGAGAAGCACGGGAAAGCGATGAAGAAGAAGGCAGCCAAGATTCTCGAAGAGCTATCATCTTTGGCAACTGATATCGAGTCTTTCTACTTGCGGCCGACATTAGGAATTGTTACTCAGGATAGCGGGACACAGCTTTTCACAAGGCTCGCCTCCTTTTTCGATTCAGACGTTCTGGAGAGTGTCACGAGCGCTGAGTTGCTGGCATCCGGTGTCGTCCGGGTATTGGAAGAAGTGTTCAACAATCCGGATGAGAAGTTGGCCATTGCGGCACAGTCCGCATTCCTCGAAGTCTTCATGGGATATTCCGTGAAGTCCAGACCCAAGACAGCTACTGCCGATTCGCCTGCGACACCCTTCAGCGTTATGATCCACAAGCTGCAAGATCTTCTAAGCCGATCCGAGCACTTCGAGGTGGTGACAGTGCATCCTCATAACAGCTACGACGGTAGCCGTAGTAATGCTGCATCTATGTTGGCAAAGCAGATTAGGTTGAAGCTTGTTGCTGACGACGACTCTGGCATTCCCCGCCCTTATCGTAACATCATGGTGTCCATTCACGCTATTGCGACATTCAAATCTCTCGACGATTATTTGCGCCCGCGTATCAGCCTGTCTGAACGCCCACGTGGCTCTCGAAACCGCGAGGGTCTATCCAGAGCGCTCGCAGCCATGGCAGGATCAGCCGGATTACCTCTTAGTGCTGCCGCTGCTCACTTGGCCGATCGTCCCCCTCCGTCGATGATGGGCGGTTCAACCCCGCCGCCCCCTATGCCTCCCCAAGCATCAGGGTCAAGATCTTCCCGTAAGGCAAAGTCCAGATCACAACCGCAGGCTGAGGTTCCAGCTACACCCGAACCAGTTTCTTCAGCGTCCCGAGAGAAGGGCGTGCTGCGTCGAACTACTCGTCGTCAGCCTACCCTAGCCGATACCCCACCGCCGCGCCCTCCTCCTGATGATGAGGATAACCTGGACAATGCACTAGAGTGTGCTGATGAGAAACATCTGACCGATGAAGACGAGCTTGGTGAAAGCAGTGCACTTGATGCCATTGTTGGAGATCTCGACGAGGACATGGATGACGCGCCTGTGCCAGACCCCGGAGCTGTTAACCTCGAGGTTGCTGCTGGAGGGAAGATCACGGCGCGTAAGGAAGATGGAACACGTGTGCCCACTCCATCCCAAGGCAACTCCGGTCTCCCCAGCCGTACCAGCGCGCTCACGGCTGCTTTGCAAGGTACCCCTACTCCGGCTGCCGCATCTCGCCCAATGAGTTACGCTGCTGCAATTCAAGCCATACCGCAAGATTGGCACATTGAATTCAGCTATGATGGCAAGGTTCTCAGCAACGATACCACTGTGTATCGCGCTGTGCAGAGTCAGGGCTTAGGTGACCATCCGAGCCGAAATGTGTGGTCTGCTCAGCATGAGATCAAGGTCCGTAGAGTACCTGGACCGCCGCCGACTGAGCCAATCTCATCGATCTCTTCCCTTGGTGCAGGGGCGGATTCTGGAGATAGCAGCATTCCTGCTTCTCTGGCTAACCACCCCACGACAGCGTCAATCCTACGACTTTTGAAGATGCTTCATGACCTCAACGCAAACATCGACGATGTTCTAGTGGAGAACATAGCTGCTTTGAAGCTGAACGTGGAACCGTTGTCGCAGTTTGTAAATACGAAGTTGACAGCGAAGCTCAACCGACAGCTTGAGGAACCGCTGATTGTCGCAAGCAACTGTCTTCCCAGCTGGAGCGAGGACCTTGCCAGGCTGTATCCTTTCCTCTTTCCTTTTGAGACCCGCCACTTGTTCCTACAATCCACATCATTTGGCTACGCGCGATCTATGACCCGGTGGCAGAACGCTCAGCCCCAAGAGGAGAGCAGGCGAGCCCGTGATAACCAACCATTCCTTGGCCGCCTACAGCGTCAGAAGGTCCGCATCTCGCGCTCTAAGATACTCGAGTCGGCCTTGAAGGTGATGGAGCTCTATGGGGCCTCTCAAAGCATTCTAGAAGTCGAGTATTTCGAGGAGGTTGGCACTGGTCTAGGGCCAACCTTGGAGTTCTACTCCACAGTATCCAAGGAGTTCTCAAAGAAGAAGCTTAGACTTTGGCGAGATACTGACCATCACGAATCTGACGAATTTGTATCCGGACCCAGTGGCCTGTTCCCTCGGCCCATGAGCGAGGACGACGCACTGTCTCCCAATGGCGAGCGCATCATGCAGCTCTTCAAGATGCTCGGAAAGTTCGTCGCCAGGTCCATGATTGACTCCCGTATCATTGACATCAACTTCAACCCTATTTTCTTCCGCATTGGAGACGAGTCCTCTGGTATTCGGCCTTCGCTTGGAGCAATGAAAATTGTTGACCCTGTTCTTGCACGTTCTTTGCTGCTGGTGAAGAAGTTCGCATTGGCCAAGAAGGAGATCACCGAGGATCCCGACCGAAATGCCGCACAAAAGGTTGCAGATACCGAGAACATCGTCATCGACAACGGTATCCGAATTGAGGATCTGGCTTTGGATTTCACCTTACCCGGATACCCGGAGATCGAGCTCATCCCGAACGGTTCTCAAATCATGCTCATGCTCGATAACGTCGATTTGTATCTAGAGAAAGTCATTGACATGACTCTTGGAACCGGTGTACGACGACAGGTGGATGCATTCCGAGCTGGCTTCTCCCAGGTGTTCCCGTACTCGGCCCTCAGCGCTTTCACTCCAGACGAGTTGGTGACTCTGTTCGGCCGTGTCGATGAAGATTGGTCGCTTGAAAGTAAGTTTCAACCCGTTCCTCGTCAATGTTCAGCCCCTTACGGCGTGGACAAATCACTAACATGGTTCAGCTCTTATGGATAGCGTCAAGGCCGACCACGGCTACAATATGGACAGCAAGAGCGTGAGGAACCTCCTTCAGACAATGTGTGAGCTTTCTGCTGCACAGAGACGCGACTTCCTGCAATTCACCACTGGCAGCCCCAAGCTTCCCATTGGAGGTAAGTCATAGCCCCTCATCAGAATTAGTGTATCCTAAGCTTACCTCTTATTTAGGCTTTAGGAGCTTAACGCCAATGTTCACGGTGGTCTGCAAACCCAGTGAGCCACCGTACACCTCGGATGACTACTTGCCCAGTGTCATGACCTGCGTCAACTACCTCAAATTACCCGACTACACCGATATCGACATCATGAAGAAGAGACTCTTCACAGCCATCAAGGAGGGCCAGGGCGCCTTCCACCTCTCGTAGATGAAGAACCTAGCCGAAAGGAACAGAACAGAACCACTTGTGGGATTACATGTATTTACTTGATGACTCTTTTTCATACATCACCACCTATTCCCCTTTTCCTAGCTGCACGCCCATAGGCACGATGAATCCGACGTAATGGCAGCATTGAGGGGTTCAATGGATGGATGGGCACTGGAAAGGGGAGACATTGCATGCATGGAAAGGGATGGCCATTGTGTCATGTGTTAGTGATATAAATTTGCTCTTGCTCTTTTGGAGGAGTCACGCGTTGCCCTGTTGCATGATGATGATGCATCAGCCAAGACGACCAGGGAAGGCGTATTCTCAGATAGATTGGTCAAACCCGAGTCTCTACAACTCATAGTTGCACTCAATTCGCTTGTCCAAGTCTCCCCACGTCGAGTCATTCCGTGAATGTTATCCTGATAAGATGTCCTCATTCTTTACAATCCGCGCAATTATCGTAAAGGCATATCCCACACCTACTCAGGTGGGCAATCGGGATCTGGTCACTGATCATGGGGCGATTAGAAGTGTTTAAGTGTGTGCATACTCTGATGTCATTTTGGTGATTATGTAAGGAACGCGACCTCGATGCTCAGCTTGGGACGCGACGCGTCTTCTTCCCTCTAACGTTATCGCCAGGAGACATCGCCCCACCACACGCCACCAAGCCCCTAGAGCTCCAGAGGGACCTGCTAGGCAGCCGCTTGTACATCCACAGCTCGGGAAGCGAACGATGCAGGATTGAAAGACAAGTCCGACGAACGGAGGCATCACCAATGGCTCCCCAGACTCGCCCTAGGCGTTCATTGCCAGCTCCCAGAACCTATCATTCATCGCCCGCACCGCAGCAGGTCACCTTCCCTGCTCGACGCCGGTCAGTCAAGACATATGGCAAAGCACCAACGCCGTCGTCGGTTGCTCGCTCCATGCGCCAGCAGACATTGACGCAAATCGACTATCTACAACTGCAAGAACAGCCACCTATAGATCTCGAAGGCGATCAGGAAGACATGGAGGACGCTGAGCAGCCACGGAAACGCAGAAGGACTATGGGCGATGTGCCGAGTTCTACTGCTGGCTCGAGCTTTCATACCCAGACCTTGACACAGTTTCTCTCGGAGCATGGTGAAGATGACAATGGCGAAGACGAAAGGCTACAAATCGGGGACTCGGAAGACGAAGATGATCTGGATTTGTCTTTGGGCTTGGACAATGGACGGAAAGTGACTGAGTCTCCGAGGAAGGAAGGAAGTCAAGCATCTTCAATGATCCCACAGACACCGGCACACAAGCGGATAAAGACCGAGATACCCTCGTCGCAGCCGTCGCCTTTCACGCCCATGCTTGATAGATACAGCATCGCGCCTGATAGGTCGCCGTTGAAGGGCAGATCTACGAATGTTGAGGCGCCGCCACCGACGGCGGAGACCCTGAACAAGAGGCCCAGGATATTGGTCGTTCAGGACTCATATAGCTCGGTTAACGGCGGGCTATCGTCCGACAATGCCTCGCAGATGTTTGGGCAGTCTTCTCAAAAGGAGAATCGACCTCCACGATTTGATTCGACTCAGATTCTCAAACAAGGGCAGGCTGTTGTCGATGAGTTGGCTGAACTGCGGCAGGAAGTGGTCGATGTTATCGAAGACATATCGACAGATGGCGAAATCCCAGACTCGGATGACGAATTTGATTCATTTGATCCTTCACCGCGGAAAGAACAGTCAAGTACAAACGTATCGCCAAAGCTTGGCAATCAACCGGGCAGTTCAACGCCATTACCACATTCACATCAAACGGAGGAAGACTCTACAAGTAGTGAGGCTTCAATTCCATTGACTCGAAAACAATCACCTCCCAGGCCAACACAGCTGCCTGACCGGAAGCCAACTCCTGAGCCTGACCCCGAGGACGAAGACGCCGAGTTTATGCCACCCAGCCCATCACCTGTGAGGACTCAGAGTGTTCAGTCGAGATCCAGCTTCATAGAAAAGGAGACGCCATTTTCGTCTCCGCAGAGGACTTCTCCTTTGAAAGGTCCCCAACCAGTCCCCACGCCGAGCAGGACTCAATACTATACCCAAGGTCTTGAGAGCCAACGGGTACCTCTCGAAGTCATCAGAGACATGGGGCCTCAAACTGATCGCTCCGATATTATCATCTCCATACACCCCGAACACGTGGAGAGGATAGCCGCCGGCACAAAGAACCACGAATTCCGTGATTACAGGATTCCCCAGACCGTTAGCCGTATCTGGATTTACGTCACTAAACCAGTTTGTGAGCTACAGTATATGGCCATCATTAGCGAGGCTAAACAGCCAGGAGAGATCAATGATGAGAAAGGGGTTGGAAATGCCGAGTTCAACAAGGGGAAGATGTCGAAGTTCGCATATGAGCTGCAGCAAGTGTACCAACTCAATAATCCAGTGTCCATCGAAACGATGAAGGAGAACGGCTGGGTCGGGGCACCGCCACAGAAATACATCTATGTGCCACCGGCGGTTGTGGGCCAGCTCATGGGCAATCTCCGATGTGCTCTCTTTTTCGACGAGCATGACCAACACGACGTTGGCATTTCCGTTTCGCAAGAGGTCGAGATGCAATTACGCAGCGACATCACCCACGCAACACAGCTGCTCTCCTCGGACGGTATCGAGATGGTGCCGTCCAGCCAGGAACCTACTCCTCGGCAGAACAACTCTCACTCCAAGCCGGAGTCGTTCGCCAAGCCCATGCTGCCCGTTAAGAGCGGGCCGACAACGCGCAGCCAGGCGACGCCGACGAAGCGCAACAACGACACCTTCATACGGCCCTCGCAGGCCACGACCGTGAGCGAGGTGTCGAGCCCGCCGCCGGCGCAGACGCCCGAGAAGAGCAGCGTGCCGAGGCGGCCGCAGCCGTGCTCGAGCGTGCCTACGTTGCCAGACGATCTGGATGCGGATGTGGATGTGGATGAGAGCCCGATTGCGCTGCGGCTGCCGCAGGGGCAGGGGCAGGGGCAGTTCTCCATTGGCTCGTCGCAGGTGCTGTTGCAGGATAGCTTGATTAATGACGATGATGTGAGGCGGCCACCTGTTGGGTGGGAGTCTGATGGGGAGTGAGGGCTGAATGTACTAGATTAGAACTGGCAGATGGGGTCAATGTGTACCATAGCTGCATGGAATGGAGTTATTGGGCTCAGGAGGTGGTTTGATTTGTAACTTCTAGATTTTTAAAGTCCTCAAATCCTAGTCTCTCATTTGTCTAACGTTGAGGTTGATGCGCTTGTTCCTCATCCAGCCCTTCCATTCCCCGTACTTTCCGTGTTCGGCAGGCCAGTCCTCGAGGTAATCTGGACATGTCCCTTTCAGAACCTTTGGCACTCCATGCCATGCATACCGTGACTCTTTCGTCATGTAGATGGCATCCCCTGACCGTAGCCTAAGAATTAGGTATTGCTTCTCACTCTTATGCCTCTCCTCGATATCTTCAACCTTGCTGATTTCGTTTGGGGCAATCAAGAACAACCCGTCACACCCTAAGCTGATACTGACAAGCCCCTTGTCCGTCTCTTCGGACACGTCGCGATGCATCATCATGGTGTCTCCGGGAGTGTAGAAGTTGACGATGGCGGCCTGCGCCTGCGTCGCGGGAAAGAGATCCTCTAAGAAGCCGGTGATATCCGGAGGAAATATAGGGGGTGCCTCGCCTGGGTAGACTCTGTTCGTCCAGTCGTACTGCCCACCTAGTGTCACCCAATGTAGGCGGCGCTCCATGACTTGCTTCATGGACAGGGGTTTGTGGACGCTGGGATCTTTGGGTTGAAATGTGACTGGAGAATCGGGAGGCATCGTGAAGAAGGAGGCCGGTTTGCCTTCTTCATCTTGAGGGTATGGTAGGCCGTAATGAAGATGTAGATTTGTTTGATGAGTTGGGACACTGAGGTCTCGGTGTACGAGACGAGATAGTAGAGTCTTCTGAACGGCAGGTGGTAGAAGAGACGGCACAATCAAGAGCCCTTTGTCATGATTAGTGAGAACGTTACTTGGCACATGAGAGGGATTGATTTAAAATCCGGAAGTCTTACCTGGTAGTAGCGGATGATAGTAGATCTTTACATCCTCATCCACCTCAACCGCTTCATCCAAGTGGCTGAAGGCACTTCTTATTGAGCTGGCTGGTATGGTGCCAGAGACGCAGAATTCGGCTTCCTTTTCGGGAATTGTGAGATCATCTATGCTGTTGCTCTTCAGAATATCTGCCTTCTCGGCCCTGGAGAAGCCCTTCCATATGGCCCGGAGCTGGTCTGACGGCTGCTCATGAGCGTCGAGGGTTGTGAGATCTAGTGTCATTATGGACTGCCATATGAGGGCCGTATAGAAGCTATAGTCTCGCCTTCAATTCATAGCTGATAAGGAGCAAGGTAAGAAGTCTAGCATGTGGGAAAAGCGCCGCTTGATGCCCGTATGACGAAATGCGATCAACATGTGATTTGAGGAGAACTTTCGCGATTAATTTAGTAGCTCTGTACTTCAGTCGCCTGTTTGCGCGTCTGTTCCCCTGATTTTATAAGTTTTGATCTGGATGGATCCTCTAGAATATCATCTGGGGAGAATCGCTGATGTGTTGTCTCCCGACGGAGCACTTCAAAATGTGATGAGGGGCATCACCATGGACCTCAGACCTCAGACGATGCGATCAAAATTTGGTGGGGGTTAATGTTCGATAAGAAACACGATAAGAAGTGTGGCGCCCCGCGCTAAGAGAGACGCGCTAGAGTGTGCCCTGTACCTTAGCGCAATTAAGCACTGTGGACACTGTGGACACGGCTCTAGCACCAGCACGCGGTAGTGCGCCGTGACTGGGAGTTTGTAAACACGCGCCTGGCCAATCGCCTACCGCCCCCGCCCGTTACCACTGGATTTTGGCAGTAAACAACAGCAACCAGCTAAATTTGTCAATCCGCCCGCACAACACCAACAAACACCATCACAGCGACCGTTACTAACCACCACAGGTCTTCATCTTGTTTTCCGATTGCAGCTACGACGACGTCCTTCGAGCCTCTTGTTTCTCGATGGCTGCTCGTCTGTAGAGAGCCTCCCTTTACGGCCTACGCGACCCGACAATCTCTCCCTGTCTTGACCCCCTGGATCTCGACAATTGCCCCTCGTTTGCCCACATTCGATCCCCCCGCCAGACACCCAACCGACCAAACAATCGCTTGTCTCGACCCGACACGTCCCCTTTTTTGGCTAGTGTGTATTCGATCGAGGTTATCATAGAGTCAGTCTGACCGGCTGTGTCAACTTCGAGTGCAAACATCGCCCTGAAACACCATGGAGAACTACCAGAAACTCGAGAAGGTCGGCGAAGGTATGCTGTCCCACGGTCATGCTGCTACAGATGGTGTTCGGTGATGATTGACTTGAATAGGCACCTACGGTGTTGTCTACAAAGCCCGCGATCTTGCAAATGGTGGTCGGATTGTTGCGTTGAAGAAGATCCGCCTCGAGGCCGAGGATGAGGGCGTTCCCTCCACCGCGATCCGCGAGATTTCTCTCCTCAAGGAGATGCGCGACCCGAACATCGTCCGTCTCCTCAATATCGTTCATGCCGACGGCCACAAGCTCTACCTCGTCTTCGAATTCCTCGATCTCGATCTGAAGAAGTATATGGAGGCGCTGCCGGTGGCCGATGGTGGACGAGGCAAGGCCCTGCCCGAGGGCTCCAGTCCGGAACTGGCTCGATTGGGCTTGGGTGATGCTATTATCAAGAAGTTCATGCTGCAAATGTGCGATGGCGTTCGTTACTGCCATTCTCACCGCATTCTCCACCGTGATCTAAAGCCTCAAAACTTGTTGATCAATCGCGACGGTGATCTGAAGCTGGCCGATTTCGGTCTGGCTCGTGCATTTGGTGTGCCTCTAAGGACGTATACCCACGAGGTCGTGACCTTGTGGTATCGTTCGCCAGAGATTCTGCTGGGCGGTCGTCAGTACTCGACTGGTGTGGATATGTGGTCTGTTGGATGCATCTTCGCTGAGATGTGCACTCGCAAGCCACTGTTCCCTGGTGACTCGGAGATTGATGAGATCTTCAAGATCTTCAGGTGAGCTCCTATGACATCTCATAGGATTTTGCTCGCCCTTGCTAACATGGCTGTTCAGACTCCTTGGCACACCCACTGAAGACGTCTGGCCTGGCGTAACCAGCTATCCTGACTTCAAGTCCTCCTTCCCCAAGTGGATTCGTGAGCACAACCTGCCTTTGTGCCAGAATCTTGACGAACAGGGTCTGGACCTGCTCGAGATGATGCTGGTCTACGACCCGGCCGGCCGCATCTCCGCCAAGCAGGCCTGCAACCACCCGTACTTTGAGGACTACCCACGGCAGCAACACTACGGGAACGGCTACCGCTGAGCCCCCGAGACACCGACTTAACCGATACGAATGAGTTGTCAAAGACAATACCACGACGAGGCAAGCATATATCCTTTGCTTTCCAGGATACTGTGGGGATCATTAATATCACCCTCTGGCTTTTTAGACGGCGTTTCGAGGGCTTGGCAAAGGGAGGCGGAAACATCTTCTGGAAGGACACGGCTTGGCAGCATGCATGGCTGAGGGCAGGATTCGTCTTTGAAGTGCTTGTGTCGCGTGGAGAGACATGTGGCTGCTTGAGGAGGCGGTCACAGTCTTCCAACGTGGCCCGAACTGGTGGCTCTTGCGCTTCTTGCAGCAGATGCTGTGGTTTGGCCATGTGGTTTTCCTTTGTTAGAGCTACTGTATCCACTAGACTCTCATGATGGGGCATGAAAATGGCCCTGCTGGTTGAATCAAGAAAACTGATCATATCTAGAATCCTTTTCAAGCTGTGCCTAGTGTCTGTTACGTGTGAGACTTCCCTGGGCCAGCGGCCGAAAGTTGCGTTCAATACCCCTGACCTGGTGGCTCGGCTTCTCTGTCATGCCTCGTCTTTCTTTGTTCGGCAACTTGGTTTTCTGAGCAATCATCTACGAAAATTGCCCTTTCCTGAGACTAGCCCTACAACTTCAACCCTTCGGCAAATCATTGGATGGCCAGCAGTCTCATGTCTAACTTAATCTGTTCCCGGCACTCAATGATAATAACCTACCCGAAATTTATCATCAAAGCTCGAATGCAACAGGTGTTGGGCAAGGTTGTCTCAGCCTCGTCCAGTCTCGCTGGCGTCAGTCTTCCCAGGCTCTCGAGGGCAACATAGAACGCCGGCCGTTAGCTGACACACTTCTGGAACTCTGCAGTGCCCCTGTGCAAAATGCGGCAAAGTTCGATGTTACTGATCCTCGGGATGTGATATTTGGAATTCTCTCGCTTGTCAAGGATGCTGATACTCTCGGAATAACGGCGGACTATTCGATGTCTTGCGCAAGCGTTTATATTAACACATCGTACTTGCTTTTGGCCAGGCAAAAGCTCTTTTGGATACTCTCGGATTCTCAGACGACTGGTAGAAGACAAGATCTACCCTCGTGGTGTCGGGACTGGTCATTACCACTAGACAATCCCAAACATCAGCCTCAGGGGTCGAACTTTAGCGTCCCTTCCCAAGCTTTCCTCTATCACGGTGCGCAGTCACTCGAGAATGAGGTGTCCAAGATTTGTTTTCCAGGTTCAACAAAGCATTACAAAGCTAGTAGTTCTATACCAAATACAGCAATGATGCCTCGGCTACTTGAAGGGCACATGCTACGTGTGCGTGGGTTCGTCTATACTACCGTCAAAGCACCAAATCACAATTTGCAGCGCAATGACAGGGGCAAGACTCGCAGATAGATGAGGACGATCTATCAGATGACCGTAGACCGCAAAGTTTCCTTCAACAACTGCAACTATCCATACGAATCGCAACGCGAGTTCACTTTGGATCGGGTCATTAACATCTGTCTGATGGAAGCAACGTCTTGGTGGCTCAAAGCTCAAGCAATCAAATTCAACCTCTTCGAAACAGAGTTCGATTCTCCAAGCGCTATGGAGGCTTATCACAACGTTCTCGAAGGCTCCTACGACGGCCCGAGTATTCACTGGCAGTTCTGTTTGAGTCAGAACGTCAGCAGGGTCCCGTTTGCTACCACCGCTGAGTCTATTGGTCTAGGGCCTCCAGCAGTTCGACCTGGGGATGTTGTGGTAATCATCAAGGGTGCGAATGTACCGTATGTATCGAGAGAATCCACGCAAGATCAGTGGAAACTGATTGGCCCAACATACGTTGAGTACATCATGTTTGGTGAGAGCTTGAAGGGTGGTTACGTTGATAGAGACTTTTTCTTAGAATAAATTTCTTCTAGAATTCTATTTCATGTTTTTGAAATCTTAGTAACTAATAGTTAATCTATTCTTGCAACAAGACAAGACTATACCATCAACGCTGTGAAGTATGCTGAGATGATCGCAGATGGACGTGATATCCGTATAACAGGATCACATTGCCATCTACAGGATAGCGATCATGAGGACCGCATGACAGACATGTTCTAATCTAGTCTTCCTAAAAATGGAGAGACCAATCACCAACAAAAGCGTGCCGAGCCCTAGAGGAAGATGAGACCACAGGGTGCCCACCTTAGGTGAGCTAGGTGATTTTAGATACTCAAGGTAAAGCCTACACCTGCTAGTAAACATTATGAAATTGAAATGTTGACTTAGCTATTCTTCTAACCTCTTGTTACTATACATTCATGGACAAAATCTGTATAGAGTAGGGGCCCTTACAAGATTGATAAATATGAAGAACCTTGATACAGAACCAACGAACCGATAACAGGGCCTTGAGCTGTTGGTACTTTGAGGCGTGATTGGACTTCACAGTAGGGCTGAAACTGTGTAACACTGACTTTTGAGTCTACTGAGACAATAAATTCTTTTTGTCAAAGACAAACACAAGCCTCTATTCCATCTACCAATTTTACGAATATTAGTGATTGGGGTAAACAGGGTCTTACCTTTGAAGTTTCTAGGTGATCCCTCTTTTCTTTTGCCCTGGTAACCTCCTTTTCCAACTGTGACACAAATCACATAAGTTGCAGCCCAATTCAATAAATGGCTTATATTCTACTCCTGTCAAGGCATGCAATGCCTCAGTCATCTTTGAGGCGTATCAATTGCAAGGCTCTTCGGTCTCACCTCGGAGCCCAGAGACATTTCTGATTCTATTGAATTCTGTTCCATACAGAACATCACGATCCTTGGTGTCACTCATGCATTAGCAATCATGCGGCCCAGTTCATCCCGTCAAGTGGAAGAGTCTGGACCTTGGTGGCTGACAGCGGCTGAAAATCCATTCCGTGTCTTGAAAAATTAGAATTGGAAGGAATGAGCGTCAAATGTAGAACTACCGGTGTGCTCATTTTAAATAATGAGATGTAAGGGGTATCCCAAAGTCATTCAACCAAGAAACTGATTACAAGAAGCATTGCTGGATTACGGAGAAACTTGATTGCTGGTTCTCCTAGATGATATAAAGGCACAAGCTGATCAACATTTTCTGGCATCCCCTTTGTCCTCATCTCGTTCTTTCATCAACTCTGAATTATTGGAACCAAGCTGCCACGAAGATACCTATTATATTTCAATTCGAATCATGGCGGGTCCCTGGTCAACAAAGTTCGTTGGGTCTCACATGTTTCTGCCCGAACCGCGACCACAAGATGGTACTTCCTGGGACGTCATCCCATCTTCTTGGAATGATATTCGTTTCGATGCGGTTGATGTTCTCTTCATCAGCCCATTTTTTGTGAACCCTGGAAACTATTCGATTGTGCTGGGCCCGGAGAAAAACGGTGGAACTCTTGAGGAGCGCTTCAAATGGGTGATCCGAGCTGCTCGCTCAGCAAACCCTAGTATCAAGATCATACTGGAACAATTCTACGACTCTTCCGGCCGTACCGATTTTTCCGCCCTTGGAAGCGATGTCAACAAGATCAGCCAGTACGCCAATTCGGTTGCGACGTTCATTGAATCCTATTACCAACTAACTCTACCTTCCATAAACGGAGTGGATCAGGTTTCTGCCAGAATTGATGGCTTGGACGTCGATGTAGAGAGCGGTAATTTGATCTCTAGCCTTCCAGAAATTCTCACCGCTATACGCTCAAGCCTTGATGGCCTGAGCAGGAAGCTAGGCGGAGCTGTCTTCACCCTTTCCATCTCACCGGCTTGGCCCTCCTGTCTTGATGATTCCGTGGCCAAGTCTTGCTCCTATATAAACATGCAGAATTACAGTGGAGGCCAGGAGACAAGGCCGTGCGAGTACATCCATGCTACCGGAGTAAGCGAACAGTATCAGTTAGTCTGGGGTTTTGCTCCTGAGACTCCATGGACCAACACTACGACGACCTTTGAGGAAGTAAAGGCGAAAGTCAGCGAGGTTGTACAAGGGAAGTTCGCTGGAACGTGGACTTGGCGTCTCAACTCTAACAATTATGTCTACGAGAACATGTTCCAAGTTTGGCTTTTCAATACAGTTCACGGAACAACACTACCTGACTCAGAGCCGGAGAAGTGTGTGGCCAAGTATTGGCAATTTGGTGGTCGGTCGAGCGAAGATCCGAATTCATTGATTCCGATAGATTGCTCTACGTAACCTCTTGAGCATCGAATAAATGGTCGTTTTGTTCTGGGTATTTACTCCCCAGTACTTCTTTAGGACCTTGCAGTCGGGTATGGTGTGAAGTGTACTATTCCTATGTCAAGAGGTGCCAGGCCTCTCTGAGGCCCGAGAGAATTACCTTTGTTGACTTTCTGAACGGCCACCGTTAGTTCATGTTTGAATGAAATTGATCTATCAGTTCTCCAATAGACATTGAGTGCAATTCATTCTCTATGTTGAACAGTTTCGTCTCAAGATTGAACCCTAGTGATGATTGATTTTCCGTCTGTGCTCCAACGTCTTTCACGATTCGATGTGAATAGATTTCCCCTCACTTTCCTGGCCTGAGCTAGCGCCGTCCTGTAGCCCCAGTTTCATGCACGATGAGGCTTTGTGGTCTCTTTCTGGGCTGAATTTCACCAGCGTCAGATGAAATAGCCTCGGTCTTCGGACAAGGTGGCCTCTCTTTCATGCTTTGAGGGGATGTCTCAATCTACACCTGTGGCAAGAGCATTCATATCTAACTGATTGGCTGACATCGACTTGGGCTCAGGGCGCGTCGTTTGACCAGTGTGCAGATGCTTTGTTTCCCAACTAGAATCCTAGCTCTCAAGATATATTCCCAATTGCTCAGCCATATCTCTTCGTTCGACTGTCTCATTATGGGGATCGTGGCCAATCACTTGCCGTTGCGTTTCGCTCTGTTTATCTTACGATGTCAAAATCATCAAGTTCGGGAGCCTGAAGTTTTTCTTTGTATTGCCATCAATCTGATACTATGAAGTCCCAAATC